TGGGTTGCTGTTCAGGAGCTTAAATAAAGTTACTATATTATCCCCCTATAATGGAGAATCAAATGGAAACGAAAATGGAAAATGAAATGGAAACTGGGAAAAGAAAGGGGTTTAAGGAACTTATTAAGTTACTATATTAGAGAACCCTGTTATTTACTATATATACCCATTATGTTAACTTGATTAAAGTTCCTTAACGGCAACCCAGCTTATCCCCATTAGCTCTAAGCCTTAAGCCAGAAACTCGCATCCTGCAGTCGAAGCCCTCCAGCCCTGAACCCTAACCTTAAACCCTAACCCTCAATCCTGGCCGACTGGAGCCATTTCCTGCACGAGGAGAGAAAGCGGAAGAAACAACAAAACGAAACCTTATACTCTAAACCTTAAACTCAAAAACCTTAAGCCCTAAACCGTAAATCCCAAGCCTTAAATCCCAAACCCTAAAGCTTAAACCCTAGACCCTCAACCTTAAGCCCTAAACCCTTAGCCTTAGACCCTAAACCCTGAACCATGGATCCATGTCCTTTGACCCTCAGACTTCCGTGCAGGATGTCAAGAAGCAGCTGCAGGTGATGCTCGAGGTGGGATGGCTGGTTGTTCAGGGGACTTTACGGGGTTATATTTAGGTTTTAGGGGACTCCTCAGAAAGGCGGTATATGGGGGTTATACAGGGTTTAGGGCTCAGGGTTTCAGGATTTAGGGTTTCAGGAGTTATGGTTAAGGATTGGTGTTTTGATTTTAAGGTTTCAGGATTTAGGGTTGGGGGGTTGGGTTTTGATTTTAGGGTTCAGCGTGTAGGACTTCGTGTTTAGGGTCTGGGTTTAGGGTCTGGGTTTGGAGTTAAAGGTTGATTTAGGCTAGGGGGTTGGGTTGCAGTTGGGGTCTGCTGGTTGAGGTTGAGTGTTTGGAGTGTTGGGGTTCAGGATTTTTTTTTAACGTGGGCTTTGAGGTAGTGCACTAAACATTCACCCCTAAATCCTGAAATCTGTTTACCCCGACAACATCTCCGTTTTCAACGTCCGAGTCTTGCCTACTCCTAAACCCTAAATCGTAAAGAGGTCCTCCTGGAGGCCGAGAAGTCGAACCAGAATGCAGGCGCGCCCATGTGGCGTGGGGAGTTGTGGAGGGTGAGGGTTTAGTGTTTTAGGGTTTGGGGTGGTTTAGGGTTTGCTTTTTTGGGTATAGCACGGAAGCATAAAAGATTGCCCTACACACATGCTATCCGACCTGTAAATAGAGATCTCCACATTCACGTTTTGAGCCACCCTTCTGTAGCAAGAAGGCGATTTTGCACATGTGGTTTAGCTGGGTGCGTCAAGAGGGTGTTGTTCTGAGACACACAGGCGGGTTCCATAAACTGGGGGCCCCACTCACTATTCTTTCCTTGGCTGCCACTCACTACGCCCCCTCAATTACTGCCGCTTAGGCGGGGAGTGTGGGGGAGAGCGAAGGTTTAATTCTGATGTGATAATGTGATATGGATCCGCCGCCCAACTCGCCCAGAGCCTTCGGGGCCAAAAAATGGGGGCGCCTTGCGCTTCGAGCTTATTACAATCATCGTCACCATCATCACCTTACATCATCTTGCCCTCAGGGTCAGAGTGCCTAGACATTGTAGTGCATGTCGTATTCTAG